ATTATCTCCCCTTTTAGAAAAATCTTGTCTAGGAGATAGCTGTAAAAGTATAAGAAATATCAACATGAAACTTTGTAGGTAGATATATCTCTATGGGTAGATGTGCAGTGCACAAGAATCATAACTCTGCCTTGCCTAATTATGGAGTTATTGCCCTTTGTTTATTTTTACTTTTTTGAACTTTGTCTGGGATATTACTCTAAAATTATAAGAGATATCAACATGAAACTTTGTTGGTAGATAGATCTCATTTAGTAAAAAATGCAGTACAAAAAACCATAACTCTGTTTTGCCCAATTTTTGAATTATCTCCGCTTATAAAAAAATCTTGTCCGGGAAATAACTCTAAAACTATAAGAGATATCAACATGAAACTTTATAGGTAAATAGACCTCAATGGGTAGATGTGCAGTGCACAAGAACTTAAACTCCCCCTTGCCAAATTTTGTAGTTTTTGCCCTTTGTTCATTTTTACATTTTGATTTGTCCGGGACATCACTCGGAAACCATAAGGGTTATCAACAAGAAACTTTGTAGGTTGATAGATCGCATCGATTTGAAGTGCAGTGCAAAGAACAGTTACTCTGCCTTGCCTAATTATGGAATTATTGCACTTTGAACATTTTCCAGGGACATAACTCTGAAACTACAAGCGGTGTACTTTCCTGTGCCCAAAACCTATTCGGGGAGCATCACCCGGCTCAAACCGGGCTCTTGTTGGTCTAATCAATGAAAAGAAATATTGCGCATGCTCCGCATTCAATAGGATTTAATATTCATCTGATGAATAAGGATTTACGCAAAAGGTACTGTCTTTATATCCAGTAATAGTAAATTAAATGCAATTGGTATGAATAATTTTATTATGCAAAAGTGCCATCGGGGTACGGGACATCTTTAGGTTAATATTTGGATAACATTAAATAAGGCGTACTCCCAGTGGCACTAAAGATAAGGAGGGACAAGATTTTTGTCATTTTATAAAAAACAACAAGTTTGTGTTGTTTAGACGAGATTCAATGCATTCCCATCCTATTTCGGACATAAGTTTAGCAATTGACACACGTTTTGTTGCGTCCGATACAATACGAGCTACCTCATATTGAACCTTTTCGGTTGTTTCCTTTTTGTTAGTTGTACAATTATCGAAGTTTACATTACGGTATTCTAAAAGTGGACGAATGGAAGACATATTATTTTGTTCCAGTGAGAGGCGATAACGGACAATTTTCAACTTTCGTATTACACTGATACGCTTGTAGGCTTTCTTAGTTATATAGTTTTTGTAAAAACTCCATCTGAGATCGGAATAGAAGAACACACCAAGGTGTTTATGATGTGTAACTTCTTGAATAGTCTCCCAATTCATCTCTTAGTTTGGATGGACTTCGTTGCCAGTTTTTTGAGTCAAGATAAGAGATTCTGTCTTTTTTCGGATTGAACTTAACCAACCAGCTTTTGGCCCAGTCGGAGATAGTAGAGAGATCAGAGTTAAAAGTGGTAGCAGCAGAGGTAGGATCATCTACAATTAGATATATAGACTTGTGTTATCAGCAAATAAGCGAATATTGGCTTCTATGTCAATACCAATGGCGTTCATATACGTTTGGAACAACAGGCGTCCCAAGATGGATCCTTGAGGTACTCCTGTATTAACAGTGTTCCATTTAGATGTTCACCTGGTATAACAACTCATTGCCTGCGGCCATAGAGATAGGATGAGAATCTACTTTAGACATAAGGTAATTGTTTTTGTCATCACTCATATCATGTATGACAATGTTAATAAGTCTCTTTATTTTAAGAGTTATTTTCTCTTTATTTTCAAAATTTTGCTTTTTTAAATGTTAAATCCTGGTTACAACCAGGGATGTTTGAAGATTTATCCTCTGTCTGTCAGTCCGTCTGTCTGTCCTAAAACCTGTTTCCTGAGATAGTTTTTAAGAACATGAAACTTCCAACAAATTAACTTATAACAGAGAAAGTTGAAACATTAGTTCAACATATTCATCCGGAGTAAATTGGATGTTTTGATTTTCTGTTGTATATAAACATAATTTCCTTATTAAAATCATTTTCATACGATACAATAGACTGTTTAAAAGGTCTCTTTTTGCATAATATTAATGATATCCATAGTTTCTGTTTTTAGTGAAGCAATACAGTCATTTACTGAATATAGATTTGAAACTAGTCCATTTATCTAACACACAGTCACATAAAAAAACTGGTGACAAATCTTTGTTAATTAGGTTAATCTGGAAGTTTTCTTTATTATTATTTTTATCTTAGAGATACAGTATAACGTTCATTTATACAATTCTTTCTTTATTTTTCTTGCACATTATATGAGTGGTTGGTTGTTCCTGAAACTAATTTTAAGAACTCCACTTTGTAAAATTGTCTCTTTATCTGAAACAAAATCAAGTAAAAGTAAAAGAAGAATTACTAATTCTTGTCAAAGCCTTGATGATTGACATAAATTAAGCATATCAATAAAAGACTGTAAATATTTCATCAAAACAATTAAATCATCTGAAACATCTTCATTGAAATCTCCTAGAAGTACACATTCTTTTTTATTAAAACAAGAGCAAGATGGACACACATTTTCTATAATATTATAAAAGTTATTCTTAATAGAGATATATAGATACATCCACAAAGATAAAGTTATGTTTATAGTTACATGATTTCGTTAGTACTTTCTATGCCCTTGAGTTGACCCAGTGACCAACTTTTGAATTTTTAAGTTTTGGCCGAATAGGTGGCTGCCAACTTGTGTAACCGGTGTGAAATCAAAATTTGGCCAAATATTTGAATGTGACCCAGTACTGAAATCTTATCACCCTGTTTTACAACTGGATTGAGCAAATAAAGGGTTGTCATGATTATTTTGTGAAATATCTCGTAGGCATAATTTAACTTTCTGGTTTTCCATATATATTACCTAGTGGACATGAATTAAGACAAGACCCTGTGCTTCTATATTTACAAGAAAGTATTTGTACCTGAACATTTATTTTCATAAACTAACATGAGGGAAGTGTTTACTTTGTCATTTTCTGACCATTATGTAGTAGATATAAGCCGAAAACTGTCCAATAATTATGTAAAATATTGAATTTCATGAGGCGCGTAGCGCCGAAGGGAATACGATAGTTTACTTATTGGTCAGTTTGAGGCTTATATCTTACTTAAATTACTACTTTTACTATCAAATATCATGTTATCTATCGAAAAATTAGAAATAATGTATTTTTGTGCTAGAAATGTTCAATATTAATGTTTTAGCAATTATCTTTTAGATGAATTTATTTTATCTATTGTATTCATTTGAAAAGCTGACCATTATCCTTACCTAACTGAAACATGACGTACATACAATAAAGCAAATCATATGATTGTCAACTTAACGTATTAATGTATTTAGAAAAAAAAAACGGACTATAGTCAAGAAATTAAACAATCCCATAAAAATCATATCCTAACTGACGCTCCGCTATAAGCGTAAACAGTGATATGATGTTAGTAGCTTGAAAATCGAAAATCAGTAGGTTAAGGAATAATAATAATTCGTTAAATGAGCCAGATAACAAGTATTGTTCTTTTCGTAAAATTATGTAAAACGCGTAATGGGCGAAGGAAAGACATTGCATCATTCCTCGTGTTAACTGGCTACATTTAACCTAATCGTTTTTTTTTGTGTGTGTTTTTTTTTAATATTTGGAGAATTTTCCACAAAATCCTGTAGTCATACAAGCTTCTTTCAAGACACGGCACGCTGTCTAATATTAATGTGTTATACGATTAATATTGGACTTACACATTAATATTGGACACCTACCTGTACTGTATTAATGTTATGCAATAAAAATTTGCAAAATTTTTATGCGATTAAAATTAATAAAATAATTTTTGTACATTTTTAAAATAATTTTTGTATATTTTTGTAATTGTTATTTTTGTATTTAAACATATTTTTAAAAATTTTAAAAAACACATTTGGTTGCCACTGGCTAAAGGTGTTATTTATTTTTAATTAAATGTTGAAATGCATATTTTGATAAGTAATTTGTTGTACAAATTTTGGTAATAAATTTGTATTAAAATGAAAGACATACATTTCGGCTAAAGACAGCCATTTCGGCTTAAGCCATATTTGTTTGATAAGGGGAACAAAAAGTGTTTTAGCACCTTTTTTTGGCAAAGCCGCCCGCGTTTATATATATATTTATATATAATACATATACTATACATACACACACACCGATAAATGCACAATCTGAGAAAATTCAGTAATATAACCTTCAAGGTCAAGGTCATTAAAGAGCCCAAGCAAATTTGGGTTTGATAAACAACAAGGTCTGGTCCTTAAGAATGTTCTGTTATAATATGAAGTTTATCCCTTCAAAAATAGCAAAGTTACAGTCAGTTACTGCCAAAACAATGAAAATTTCAATAATTTGACCTTCAAAGGCAATGTCATTAATGAGTGAAGGTCAAGGTCTTTCGGTATATTTTTAACAGTTGTCTTTGAAGATTATTATGTTCAAGTTTGAAGACAATCCATTCAAAAATAACAAAGTTACAGCCATAATAGCCAAAAAAAATGAAAATTTCAATAATTTGACCTTCAAAGTCAAGGTCATTGATGAGTGAATGTCAAAGTCTGACTGGTTATTTTTAAGGGATATCCTTGAAGATTATTATGTTCAAGTTTGAAGACAATCCATTCAAAAATACAAAGTAACAGCCAATAACAGCATGAACAAGCAAAAATTGGACTTTTAACCTTGAAGGTCAAGGTCATTTATGGATGAAGGTCAAGGTTAGTGTGGTCTACTGAAAGGTCTTGTCCCAAGGGTTGTTGTGGCCAAGTATGAAGACAATACACCAAGAAATAAAAAAGTTATGATCCAGGTACAAGTTTTCGGACGGCAACGGCAACGGAGACGGCAACGGCAACGGCAAAAAAAAAAAAAAGTCGAGCTAAAAAGGTATTTTCCATCCTATGCGACGCGCCGAGGTTAGCTATATTTATAATTCCCGTGGCGCTTGGGATAATCACTTGATACTGTAAATGGCAGCCATTTTACGATACGAAAATGCCTGGCCCTCCTCGGACAGTTTATCCTGCCGAAAAGATATGAAAAAAATACTTGCAATTCAAAGTTTGTTTGCTACATAAAGATTATCGATTTACTCTTTGCAAACCTTTTCTCTGCCTGATTGTAATAATATTGATGTGTTTTCGTTGGCTTAAACCATCACGTTATCAATACACATAAAGGTGTGAACTAATTTCGTGTTCATTAAAATTATATCGTTAATAGACATATAACAATCTTATTTATAAATGGATTGATAAAACAACAATCCCAGAAGCATTTAAGATAATAACAATCATTGGAAAAAAATAAATGCATATAAATTGTAAATTTGTGTTTGACAACTCACCCCCTAAACAAAACATAATAGACTCAACCAAAACATACCTAACTATGTAGTTGCATGATTGCAAACCAAATGTAAGAGCTACTAAAGCTATTGTAAGTATAGGTTAGAGTGCATATTGGGTGTTCTTCGTAAATAAGAAAGCTAAAAAGGAGCGGAGCTTGCGAAGCGACTGTAGCTTTCTTATTTACGAAGAACATCCAATATGCACTCTAACCGGCTTAGTGCTCCGCCCACTTTCGTTTTATAATATAAAACGTCCAGTTTATATAAAAGCTGTTCTATTAAGATTTGTAACCTGAAAATTTGAAAAAAATCCTCGTCGGTGATTGGCTTAAAAAAATTGGCGAGCACTAAAAATAATACTATGACCACAGCAGATTTCGTACAGAAAATACAGTACGATCAGAACAAAGGAATGACGTCATAGTAGTAATTTAATGAAACATATTAGTTTGTATGTACGATATTGTTACGTCATGGGTTTATGAACGACATAAGTGTAACACTTGGTGTTATAACACAGGGTAGTTGTGGTAATTCATTGATTGTTTCCAATCTACATATACAGTCAAACTCATGAATATACTATATATCTTCTCTGTTGAAGTCAACTTTAATCAAGGCACTGAAATGACATAATAATAACAATGTTTGCACATATAATATATACAATCAATAAACATAGCATTTAATAAACATCTTATTAATATAGACATTAAAATCACTTAATGATTAAAGCATTTGTACTCTTATGTGTTATCAGTTAAACATTACATGTATAATGTTTACATTATTACAAAAGGTATAAATACCAACATACTCTTATGCTTACAGATCTAAGGGATCTTAAGCCTATTCCACAATACAATGTGGCAATTTATATCACTTCACTTCACATCACATACATCCTGTCTCACGTGATGGTTAACTGTGAACAAGATTAATACATATAATACATGCTGGTTATAAAAATATAGAATTGAAGGAGAAAGTAAATGACCGCCATTTTGGAACATTCAACGCGCTGTAAAATACAACATTGCAAATAAACCGAATAATAAATAATCATTTCAGCCCTCACAAAACTACATAAACACTTGGATAGCTCAACCAAATGTAAATCATATAAACAAGTTCAAATTAACAGAATGTTCTCTACATCAACCGTGTAAACTCTTTTCAACACAACATTCCCGCCAAACTCGCGCGAGATCACACAGAAAACAATAAAATAAAAGACCAGCAAGAAATTATCAAAACCTAAAGAAAAAAAACACCGGTAAGAGCTGACAAGTTTCATAAATAAATACTGTTATACGAAAATATGACCCTGCTACATAAGTATATATAAATACGTTTATTATTCTTAACTATAATATATAAGACGTGTTAACATAGCAGTGTCCGTGATGGAATATTTTAAGATATAGGTAACTCTCTATTATAAAGGAGCTGTACGCGCCTATTACAGTTAACTCATCATGCTACAGATATCATCAGCAAACATTTATTTTATTAAAACTTATTTTCTTTTATTACCTTTTAATTCTGTTTTAGTTTTCAAAACTATTAGAACACGCTTATAAGGTCAGTCAGGGGTTTGGTTGCAAAAGTGAAGGCTTTATCTCTTATCGAAGATTTATCGCGTCTTATCTTTCAAGATTTACTGATAAAGTTTAAATTTTCTTTTCATTTATTGCTGTAGTGGAATGATAAACAATAATCATGATGCTATTAATTTTTGTTTTTCTTCTGTTTCAACAAGTGTTGGGATATTCGTTGAATACCCAAGAAGAATGGAAGAGTCTTGAGCAAGACCAACTAGACGGTATGTTTCTTTGTTAACGTCTGCATCTGTTAAAGTACTTAACTTCTCACTCTGTGTTTTTCACGTTGTCTGATTTATACGCAAGATCTTTATTTGACCCAGTAAATTGTGACCCCGTTTTGACTGCCGGGGCATTGCGAGAGGAATGAAGCACGTGTTACTGTTCAGTGTCAGTGTTTTATGCCAAATAGCGGGGAATATGTCGGGCTTAGTAACAACTTACCGATGTATACATGCCCACTAATTTGCTTATAGGAGACTATCAATCATGATATTTGTTTTAAGACACATAATAAAGTTCTGCTTATTTTGGTAAAAAATTAAGTAATCTGGTAATCTAGTGCGGAGGTCAAAGTTGCGTGCTCATACACGCGCGCGCGTATGTTAGATGTGCGTGTGTTGAACATTCATGTTTAGCAAAGAACTTTTCAATATTTTAGTTCCTCTTTAAACGTATATATCTATACATGTATATTTGTATGTATATTTATGCATAAATGTTTTGTATTGTGAAAAAAAAGAACTTTTAAATCTTCCTTCTCCGGCTCATTACATACACAATTTAACATTTCTATTAATTTTGATGTTAACTAGGTTTCGACCTGGTGAGTTTTTTATACCCCCGCACAACAAAGTTATCAGGGGGTATACTAGAATCAGCTTGTCCGTCCGGCCGCCCACCTGTCTGGCCGTCCGTCGGGTTTTCTTTGCCTGCCCAATAACGTAATAATCCTTTGCCACACAATCTTCATATTTGGTATTCAGATTGGTCATGATTAGTAGATGACCTTGATTGATTTTGAGGTCACTAGGACCTTGACTAACTAGACCTATCACTGAAGGTGATTAATACCCCCACCAACAACTTTGACTTTTTGAAAAAAATGTAGTCTGAAAAAAAATTTGAACACAAACTATCAACTGTGTACAAATTTCATTTCAATTAATTGTAATCGCAACTGGGGTCTCGAAATATTAGCTTGCTATACACCAAGTTTGATTACAATATCTCATTCCTAACTCTTGTTATTGTCAGGAAACCATTTTTTCTATTTTTAGTAACACTGTAACACTAAACAGTGACCTTGACCCTATGGTGTCCAAATGCAATACCAACCCAGGTCTTCATATAAGCTTCCTATACACCAAATAAGATTACAATATCTCATTCCTAACTCTAGTTATTGTCCGAAAACCATTTTTCGTAACGGTGACCTTGACCTTGACCCCAGGGGGCCCAAATGCAATACCAACCAAAGTCTTCATATAGGCTTGCTATACGCCAAGTTTGATAACAATATCTCATTCCTAACTCTTGTTATTGTCCGGAAACCATTTTTCTATTTTTAGTAACACTGTAACCGTGACCTTGACCCTAGGGGGTCCAAATGCAATACCAAACCAGGTCTTCATATAAGCTTCCTTTACACCAAATTAGATTACAATATCTCATTCCTAACTCTAGTTATTGTCCGGAAACCATTTGTCTATTTTTCCTAACGGTGACCTTGACCTTGACCCCAGGGGGTCCAAATGCAATACCAACCCAGGTCTTCATATAAGCTTGCTATACACCAAGTTTGATTACAGTATGTCATTCCTAAGTCAAGTTATTGTCCGGAAACCATTTTTTCTACTTTTAGTAACAGTGACCTTGACCTTGACCCCAGAGGGCCCAAATGCAATACCAACCCAGGTCTTCATATAAGCTTGCTATACGCCAAGTTTGATAACAATATCTCATTCCTAACTCTAGTTATTGTCCGGAAACCATTTTTCTATTTTTAGTAACGGTGACCTTGACATTGACCCCAGGGGGTCCAAATGCAATACCAAGCGGAGTTTCCATATAAGGTTGCTATATACCAAGTTTGATTACAATACCTCATTCCAAACTCTAGTTATCATCCGGAAACCATGATGTGGACCGACCGACGGACGGACCGACCGACCAACCGACAAGCTGACTCCTATATACCCCCCCTAAACTTCGTTTGTGGGGGTATAAAAATAGCTTGTCCGCCCAATAACTTAAGAATCATCTGACACACAGTCTTCACATTTAGAATGGAGATAAGTCATGCTTATTAGATGACCCCTATTTATTTTGAGGTCACTGGGTCAAAGGTCAAGGTCACAGGAACCTAAACTTAGAAAAGCTTGTCCGCCCAATAATTTAAGATTCCTTTGACCCACAGTCTTCATATTTGGCATTGAGCTTGGTCATGACCATTAGGTGACTTCTATTGATTTTGAAGTTAATGGGTCAAAGGTCAAGGTCATAGGAGCATTTAGTTCAAAAAGCTTGTCACTCAATTGAACAGTCTTAATATTTGGTATTAAGGTTGGTTATGACCAGTAGATGACGCCTTTTGATTTTGCGGTCACTAAATCAAAGGTCAGAAGGGCCTTGCCTAAAAAAGTTTGGCCACCCAACTCCTTACTCCTTTGTCCCACAGTCTTCATATTTTACATGGAGATAAGTCATGACAATTAGATGACCCCTATTAATTTTCAGATCACTGGGTCAAAGGTCAAGGTAACAGGGGCCTTCACTTCAAAAAACTTGTCCGTTCAAAAACTTAAGAATCCTTTGATCCACAGTCTTCATATCTGGTAGGGAGGTTGCCCTTAAGCTCTAAATGACTACTGTTGATTCTTACAAAGCGGTATGTGGGGGTATTCACGCCATGACAGTGGCAGTTCTAGTTTTGTTCGTTTAAAGCTATAGATTTTCAAATGAAGGACTGAAGTTTCATATTAGGTGTTTTTTTATGTCAAAATAAATTTGATATCAGCTGACCTACTTTTGATATTTTGATATCATTTAACCTACTTTCTTTTTTTTTTGACACGCTGAAATTAAATTTGGACCAAGGATGTAATTTCTAGTGCTGAATCAAATGTTGTTACATTTGATATTTTTGATATCGCTTGAACTACTTTTTTCTTTTGTTTTTTTGACGCACAGACTTGAAATTTGGACAGTTGGTGTAATTTCTGACGCTGAATTGAATTTTGATATCAGCCGACCTACTTTTTATATTATTGATATCATTTGACCTACTTCCTTTCTTTTTGACATACAGAAATGGAAATTTGACTAAGGGTGTAACTTGTGATGCTGAACTGAATTTCGATATCAGCAGACCTACTTTTGATATTTTTGATATCATTTGACCTACTTTTTTGGTTTTTACATGCAGACTTGGAATTTTGACCAGGGGTGTAATTTTTGATGCCAAGTTGAATTTTAAATTAGCTTACTGACTTTTGATATTTTTGATATCATGTGACATACTATCTTGTTTTGTGACGTACATATTTCCGATTTGGATCAGGGGTGTAATTTATGACGCCGATTTGAATTTTGATAGCAGCTGACCTACTTTTTATATTTTTGATATCATTGACCTACTCTTGCTTTTTTCTTAAAAACATAAAAATTGGACCAAGGGTGTTATTTCTGATGCTGAATGGAATTTTGATATCAGCTGATCTAATTTTGATATTTTTGATATCACTTGACCTACTTTCTTTTTTTTTTGACATACTGACTTGAAATTTCGATCGGGTTTGTAATTTCTTGTGCTGAATTGAATTTTGATATCAGCTGGCCTACTGTTAATATCTTTGATATTGTTTGACCTATTTTCATTTTTGTTATGTTACCATTTAGAATGTATAAAAAGCTTTAAAAATTTCGTTTTCCAAAGCTGTATACTTCAAACGTCTACACCTACCATATTTTGCATGTGGCATCTGCCTGTATTCATTCACAAAAGTTATAAAACAAATTGTCCCATCAAAATTAACCCTGCCCTATTCTATATTAATTCTGAATGGTTTCCGCTGATTATCTTGAAAACAGTTTATCACAAAGTCTTCTTATTTCACATACTGACTGGTCATAACTAGTAGATGACCCCTATTTATTTTGGGGTCACTTGGTCAAAGTTCAAGGTCTCAGTTGCCTTAAATGTCAGAATGGTTTCCGCTAATTATCTTGGAAAGTATTTATCACAAAGTCTTCATATTTCACATATTGATTTGTCATAACTAGTAGATGACCCTATTGATTTTGGGGTCATTAGGTCAAATGTCAAGGACCCAGGGGCCTTAAATGTCTGAATGGTTACATTTATATGATAATATGTATTTTATTCCATCTATTCCAGCTATCCTCCAACTTGTATAACTTATTAATGATAGCTTTCATTCAGTTTCAGGTCATATATTGGTCATTATTTTTATTTTTCCATAACTCAACACTTCCATGTACCAATTTGTAGCATGTTTCTATAACAAAATTACCAATAGTATGACTCAAGGGCTAGAAATGGGGGCGTATGTGTCGGTCGACATTTCTTGTTTAATTTAGTTAAGAATGTCATATTATTGTTATTTATCAACGTATTTGATTTATGTTTACATGAAAGACCACTTATGACGAAACTCGTTCGTTGACTTATTAAAAAATAACATTGACCTTTACTTGACCTTGGCCGTCAAGGTTAGATTAATAAATTTTGTTTAGATTTCCATAGCTATATTATTTATTTATGAATTTGATTTTTTCTTTGACAAAAAGAACACATAAGCCGACATTTTGAACTAGTGGCTCTTTTTGTAATAAATAGACTAGAAAGAAATTTTCTGCTCCTACAATATTAAAATGTATTGAGAGTTGTCTATGTTGGGGCAAGGCGTGAGCAAAAAAGTACACCCAAGTTTCTGTGGATATTTTTTGAAAGTACATAAGGTAACCAGGGGCCATCAAAGCTAAAGCTATATCCCGTGTTCGGCTTGAAAACGTAAACAAATAACATTTTTCGGTAATATTTTATAGTTTTTTCAATTAATTATCCACTATCTAGATGAAAATACATATTGTTCTAGTCCGGGAGGATATAGTGTCTATAACTATAGATATTTTCGCTATTTCCCATATATATTCATTAGGTAATACAGCAATGTCTGTGTCTAGATTCTGGAAAAGT